AAAGAAAGAAAGAAAGAAAGAAAGAAAGAAAGAAAGAAAGAAAGAAAAGAAAAAAATTATCTGCAAACAAATGTACAATCACATCCAGGCACTGCCACAACATCTTCTTGAAATCCATTTTTCTCAAATTTCTACAGATCTTTATTGAAAAGGTAGCATTTGAATATCTGTTCAACATCAGTATCTGGCTCTGGGATGGAATGTCTGGCAGGCAGGAAAATGGGATTGCCGTAAGAAACCAGGGGAAGAGAGAAATAAGAAAAAGAGACCCAAGTCCCCTGCTTTAATTATGCTAGGCCCAAACTTGTTTTATCAGGTTTTCAAATTCCTTACTCTATTAACAATAAATATCTTTCCAGAAGTGCAAGTGGCTCTTGTTTCCTGAATTCACCAGCCTTGCAGGGCTCAACAGACCCAATGTTATATCACCATGATATCTCAGGATTTGGAGTATTTCCTCTTCGACATAATCCTGATATAATGTAATTGGTGACAAAATATATTAAATAAATTCTAAAATAGGTTTTGAAACTTCATTTGCATAATATGTATTATTGTTACACATCTGAACAAAAACACATTTAATTCCTTTTAAGTAGTAAAGGGAAATGAAAGTATTTTCTTGACTTGCTTTGATACAACTAAAATGGCAGCAAAGTGAGAAAGAACATTGCTCTTTAAAAGGTAAATTATATACACTCACATCACTTTGATCATCCACAGCTTCATATGGAGAGCTTCAGAAACATATTTTGTAATAAAAACATAACTTCTTTCCTAAATTGTCATATTTGTAGTTTATGAGGGGGAAAAAAGAGTTGTTTCCTGATGTCCTAGTCACACTATTCTAAATTACTAAGAGTTTATCATTCGTTAACATTCAAGGTTCAGTACTATTTTTTTGCATGAGCAATGGTTTCAGATCTGACACACTCAGCCTCTAAATGAATTTCATTTTACATTTTTTAGAGGGACCTTCCTCAAATACATATAATTTTTTGTTATTATTTTTAGTGGAGAGTTCCATTTTTTACTCCAAAAGATTTCTCAGAATAGTCACAAAGGTTGTGTTAGTCCATTCTCCTTTGCAAGGCCTGCTGGGAGATTTATAACATTTCGGGGTAATTAAAGTTTTAACACTCTCAGGATTATCTTTCCCAAATATAATTATAATGGAAATGAACCTACTAGGCAACCTATGCACTAGGACTTAATGGTGCAGGACAGAGTTATTCTAATTTTAAAAAAAATATGCTATTTTTTTAAAGCCTAATAAATAATGTCAGCTAGGTACAAAGAAAGATGGGATTATAAAAAAAGGCAGTTCATATTTCTTCTGTTACCTTTCTTTCTTTTACAGACTATTTTCAAAATTCCTGATTTATTTTCATTAGACAGGCTGAAATAACGTGCACCTGGCCAGAATTAGTGCCAGAATTGGAAATACTTAGAATTTACAGCTATAGAATATCTAAAAAATTGTATCTGGTAGTAACATTCATTGATGTGCCATGTGTCATAACTCAACAACAAAATATGGCATGTAATTTTTGTTACTTGAGTGATGTGATGACATACAGTGGCAAGGAGGCAGTTTTCCCTCCTTAGTGTTCGTTTGTATCCCATCTTTATTATTTTTACAAATAATTCAAGGCAGTGAACATATATAATATTCCTTCCTTCTCTTATTTTCCCCATAATAACAACCTGTATGGTGGCTGACCTGAGGGACAATGACTGGCCCAAAGTCATCCAGCTGGCTAAGGCAGGCTTTGAACTCACTGTCTCCAGGTTTTCAGCCTAGTGCCTTAACTACTGTCAGTGTATAGCATGTTGATTAGCAAATAACATCACCTCCTAAAAACTTATCTTGTTTCATTTGGTAGCAATCCTGTTTCTTCTAGCAATGACTAAAAATAGTCTCAGAATTGATTTCACAGAACAGCCACAGTGCCTGTGGTTTCAGTATCAAGAGAAGAACTGCCGTCAAGAGAAGAACACCAGAGTTCAGCATCTAAAGCACTGTCAGATTTAATGTTAAGTTGGTAACAGTTCTTGAGGGCTTCAACACACAATGCTGAACAGTGCAAATTAGATCTCCCCCCCCCCCTCTTATCACACTCTTATTCTACACTTTTGGTGTTGAACCCTCGGAAAGATTTTTGAAACTATCGTATATTAGGAAATGTGTTGAAATTTAAGAACAGCCTAGCAGGCTATGAGAAACGTAATGCAAAATAAGCAAATCCAAGTAGCGGATCACTGTTTTATACTCCAATGTAGTAACACTGATGTGAGTACCATGCATATTTTCTTTTCAAGATTTTTGTTTTTAATGTGTCAGGAAGTAGTGGCCTTCTACAAATATTTTCAGCAGCTAGTGGGTAGCAGAGACAACTTTTTTCTGCTTGATTGGAGATTCTGTGGTCCTGGACCAATGCTAGACAAAGATATTTTCCCCAGGATAGAAATTGGCTGGACAATCATATAAGTACAACCCCAATGTCTTAGGAGCTTCAACAAATCTTAACATTGATTGCTTTGTTGTCACTTTCTTTCGGGCATCCTAGATTATTAATCAAAAACAGAATATTTGGGAAAAAGGCAAACTAGTTGGTGGGATTCATCATAAAGGAATACATATAAGAAAGATGGGCACACAACCCATTTTTCTACACAGGAGATCCAGATTCAAATGCTATGACTTAGTGTGGAGGAACCTTTCATGAAACTATAAATAGTGACAGTCAATAGTGACAATTATGTTTGACATATCGGGGTCTGCTCACAGACTGGTTGACACAATTTTCTAGGCCATGATTCAGTTAACAATGGTTTGTCACATAACTCACAATTGCTAGATTCACAGAACAAATTAAACACATTTAATTTAGGAACTAAACTTAGTTGTTGTTTCTCTGCCTTGAGAAATCTTACTGACTTCAACTTACATAAATGAATGCCTATGATGTAAATTAAAAGAAGTTCTTAGTACTTCCACCCAGTCTTGATGTAATGTAGTGATTGAAGAAAAATGCACGACATGTATACCAAGTTCTGGTATATTTTCATCATCTGCAGCTGATTATCAAAATTGGATTTCAGCAACAGCTCAGACTTGGGATTAGAACCGATTAACCTAAAACAAGTATCCAAAAATGGGTGTATCTGTTAATAAGCTGTCAATTCAGAAATTAAACTGATGGAAAAATGGCACAGAATGAAATATGACTTTCAATGGCATCATTTCAAATGCTGTCTACCCTAGTACCCACGGGAGAAAAAATGAGAAAGAAGTGACCCACACAGCAAACTCTAAAATATAAGAAAAATGAAGTGTGGTTTACTGAAGTTTTGCTTTAGGATTTATTTTACATCCTGGTACGGATTTGTTTCGGTTGTGCTGCGGAATAGGCCCTTTTTCTGAATGTTCAGTTTCAGTTAAAGTATATCCTTAACTCAGAACTCCCAAATTCTCTGCTGCAACCTACATATTTTCTGTAATTTAGAATCATGTATGTTAGTGTGTTTTTTTTCAATTTTTATGGACTTTAGATACCAGAACTGACTAAGAAATGTTGGGAATTGAAATCCACACTAATGTAGATTGCCAAATTTATTTAAAAAAAAAAACCTGATGTACACCTGATGGGTGTTTTGTGAGATTACTGCAACATTGGCTCATAAAATATTGTTAAATAATGATGAAACACTGAGGATCTGAAAATCTGTAGTTATACATTATAGACAGAGTGCAAAATAGACTACTCTGATTGGAAATTTTTTGAAGATTGAAATTTAATATCAGAGGAAATACTTTATAATTATGAATAATTAAAAGCCCCTGTAGCAATGCAGCAGCAAGCCATTGGTTGACAGCTGTACATATTTTCTATTCAGACAGAACTGATTAGA